CGAATTCGTTATCGTCTTTATCAACGTTCATATCTTCATCATCGTTATTATTATTATTATTGTTGTTGTTGTAATTTTTGAGCGATACCATTTTTTGATTAATCGATTCGAGTAACTTTGCATGCAACTGTCTGTTAGAGCTGTGCCTATCTCGGTTCTTTTTTGTAAAAAATAATGCTGTACACCCCTCGATCGTGCATCTGAATGTTCCTTGTGGAGTTTTGTTGATGTCGTTGTTGTTGTTGATGTTGATGTTGTTGTTGTTGTTTTTATTGATTAATCTGATTACTGTGTCGGTTATACTGGACTCAACAATACATCCAATCTCTGTTGATTTCAACAAAATACTGCTATTGTTGTTATTAACGTAATTGTTGTCATCAAAAGTTGTTGTTGTTGGCATTTGATTTTGTTGTTGAGGTTGTTGTTGTTGATGTTGTTGCTGCTGAATCAATGGAAAATTTTGTTGATGTTGTCGTTGAATTGTTGAAAAATTTTGTGGCTGCTGTTGCTGTTGTTGTTGTGGCTGTTGATTTTGGCAAAACTTTTTAGCATCTGGTCCGCTGAAGTCTGACAAATCTATTGTAAGAGAATTCTCGTCGCAGCTTAAATCATTAAAATTATTGTTGATATTGTTGTTGTTGTTATTAATGTTAGGGTAATTATTGATGTTATTATTATTGTTGTTGTTGTTGTTGTATTCATTCTCATCATCTAAGCTGTTGTTGATGATGTTGTTGTTGTTGATGTTGTTGCTGTGGTTTATTTCAGAACTCATAAGCGGGTATCTCAATGGTGCATTACTCTTCCGCTTATGACTACGAGATGTTGTTGTTGCAGTTGTTGCAAATGACGATAATGATGTTGTTGTTGTTGCTGCTGTTGTTATTGATGATGATGATGTCGATAGTGATGATGATGAGGAGAAGGAAGAAGTAGAAAACGGTGACGTCATATTGCCGGGGTATTGATTATATAGCGCAGATTGTGTTGTTGTTGTTGTGATGTTATTAATGATTTGTGGTTTTGTTGATGTTATGTTGCTGTTGTCGATGTTTTTGATGTTGATGTTGTTGTTGTTCATACTATTATTTAGCAATTGGTTAGTAGTAGAATGGCCAAAATTTGAAAGATTGTCAGTAGAGTCAGAATCGACAGTGGTAAATTTGTTAACCAAATTAATTGGCTCACAAGAAAATGTTTTGTTTACGTTTTGATGATTTAAATTGTTGTTGTTGTTGCTGTTGTAGTTTAGAATGACGTCATTCTTGTTAACGTCGGTAGTGGTAGTAATGATGTTAGAAATTTTTTGTTGTTGATGTTGTTGTTTGTTCTTGCGGGTCGTGGGCTCGGTTACAATAACTTTATTGCAATTGACATCGTAATTATAACTAACGTTAGCATGGTTACTGATGTTGTTGTTTTGGTTGCTAAGGACACTGCTGCTGCTGCTACTACTGTTGTTGTTGTTGTTGTTGTTGTTGCTATGGTTGCTGCAGCCATCAACCTCATCATTATCATCATCACCGTCACCATCGTCGTCGTAATCTTGAGTTGGCGAGTAAACAATTTGCATTTCACCATCGGTGTCGTCATCGTCGTCGTCGTCGTGACCACCATGGCGATCGTCGTCGTCGTCGTCGTAGCTGATGTTGACGTCATTCGTCATATAATGGCCGCCATTTTGGTTGTTAGCACCGGTGCTGCTGTTAATTTCGTTGCTACTGATAATATTGCTGTCGTTAAGTGAACTTGTAGTAACATTAACACTACCCCTAACACCGCTGCTACTAATAATCATACTATTATTACTGTTTATATTATTATTATTTTCAGCCGGAGAGATCACGTGATAATTTTCCGGAAGTTTTCTCCGGACGGTTTGGGGCATGTGTAACTTGGGATTGGGATTCGCGCTGTGTCTGTTCCTACTGCGTCTGGAGCTGAACATCATCGTGCAGCCTTCCACCGTGCATTTGTGCATCTCCTTCAAATGCACGGCACTGTAGTGGATCTTTAGGGCCCCTTTATCGCAAAAAGTTTTATGACAGGCCGTGCATAGGACTCTTTTCTTGCCCGAGGGAGAGATCAGGGTCCCCCCGTAGCCGGGGGTTGGTTGCCATGGGCGCTTTAGAGATGAGTTGCTGCTGCTGTTTGAGTTGTTTTTGCGGGGTTTTGCTGTTTGGTTCGTTGTCGAAGAAGATGTTGATGAGGATAAAGATGATGATTGTTGTTGTTGCAGAAGTTGTTGCGGTTGTTGTTGTGGGTTGATCGGTGGGTGGATGAAGTTAGCGGGTATGTGGGGGTGTTGATTGGTTAGGATGACCATGTTACGTTCTATTAAGCTGGTGATGTTTTGTGAGAGAGCTGGTGGCAACATCAAGTGGTGTTGTAAATTTTGTTGTTGTTGTTGCAATTGCTGTTGTTGTTGCTGCAATTGCTGTTGTTGTTGCTGCAATTGCTGTTGTTGTTGTTGCTGCTGACTTTTTTGATCTTTCAAACTGTAATTAATGGCAGTATCGCAATTATTATTGCTGCTGTTGTCAACACCCGTTGCATTCAACTTACTCAAAAACGCATTTTTACTCAAGTTTATTCCGCTGACATTATTAACATTATTATTATTATTATTATTATTATTATTGTTGTTGTTGTTGTTGTTGTTGTTAATGATGTTGCTAACATTGCCAATGTTATTAATGTTATTAGCAGTAGTAGTAGCAGCTGCTGTAGTAACGGCAGTAGCTTCCGTTTTAATATTTATCAGCTTCGTTGGGTCAAGTTGCTTTAGTATCGACGATGGCGGGGAGTTGAAGAAATGACGGCTGAGTAGCGAGGCCGCCGCAGCTGAAAATTTTTCATTAGCGAAATCACTCTTTTGAGGAAAATTTGATAGAGCGGCCGCTTGGTTGGTCGCCAAAGCTAGGTTCAGAAGCGCTCGGCTGTTGCTGTCTAATGGAGTAGCTGGCGGTTTAAAATTCGGCTTTTGTTGCTGCTGCTGCTGCTGTTGTAAAGCTTTCTGTAGAAGTTGTTGTTGCAAGTGTTGTAGGTTTTGATGCTGTTGAAGCTGCTGTTGAGGAGTTAGGAGTGTTTTTTTAAAATCGATCGCTTCTAGATTTTGTAGAGTTTTTAGTGGTGACGTCATATGCCCAGCAACGTTCGATCCTAGCTGAGCGGCAAATAAGTTAGCTAAGTTGCTGGCAGCTGCGATGTTTGCCGCAAGTTGATTGGCTGAGAATGTTGTTGCTGCTGCTGATGTTGTTGTCGTTGTTGCAGTTGTAGTTGCAGTAGCGGAGGTCGTCGATACATTGTTGATGTTGACGTTTTTGTGGCTGTTGTTGTTTGGATGGTTCAACACGTTAGGAACGAGATTCTGAATGATGTTTGGAGTTAAAAATCTAGCCACGCTACTGCTTATAATGTTGTTGGCCGTGCTGTTGTTAATAATGTTAGTATTGCTATGTGACGATTTAACATTCAGATATGGATTCATAAAAGTTTTTACCAAAAGTTGCGAGGCATCGTAGTTCTTCAGAAGATTGTTGAAAATTGCATTGTTCAACAAATTCGCATTAGAATTAACGTTAATAATGTTGTTGTGGTTGCTGTTGAGACTGTTGGCAAGAGCGTTGACGTTCAACTTTGCTTTTTTCAACAAGGTTTCTGCCGTTGTCGTATGCTGAATCATGTTATTTAAGAGTGGTGTGGCCGTCTGAGGAGTAACTTTGGCGCTATCACTGCTACTACATGAAGCCGTGCTACATGTTGTAGTTGGAGTATTGTTCGCACTTTCATTAGCGGCTGTAACAGCTGTTGAGTTAGTGGTAGTATTAGTAGTAGTCACATTAGTACTTGCACTAATCAGAGTTGATGTTTCAGTTATGGAAACTGTTGAATTATCAAGTATTTCAATGTCGTCACTATCGATAAACGTTTTATCGTTGGGCGGTAGAGATTTTGAAGTGATGGTTGTTACCGTTGCTGCTGCTACTGCTGCTGCTGCTGTTGTTGCCTCTGCTGCAATTGTTTTTGTCGCTACGTTCGTAACATCAACTCTATCTTTGTCGTCGCACATGGCAATGACGTCATCGTCGTCTTCTACAATTTCTAGGTTAGTTTTATCATCGAATAAATTTTTGTTGATGTAGCAGCTTGGCTCTCTTCTCTTCAGTAAATTCGAATCGTCATTATCATCGTTATCATCGTCATTAACGACATCTTCAGTAGCAATACTGCTTTCCACATTGCGACCGAATTCACTTTTAATCGCGGAATCAAACAGGCCATTCCTGAAACGAATATTACCGATATTATCGCCGGTATTACTATCCGGACCGCTCACACCGAAACTACTACTATTACTACCGACACTGATGCTGGGCGAAACGCCGGAATCGCTACGATCCGAGAAAGATACCGACAACAATTTTTCGCCATCGTCGGTGTCAAATCGGTCCTTTGAAGAAATTCGCGAATGTAAAATTTCCCCACAAATCTCGTTATTCATGTTATTATTTTGGTCCCAAAAATTTTCCCGACTAATAAAGTTCGCTGCTGCAAGATGTGTTTGCTGAAAGCGGAGAAATTGGTCAAGAATTATTCGCTCTTCTGACGACGTCGGCATGCACCAAGTATTCGCCGGATGTCCGGTCGAGTCCTGTCCAATTGGTATTTTTAATCGTTCTTGTAATTATTGGTTTCTCGGAATTGTTAGTTAGCATTGCGGTTGTTTTTCATACATTTCATTATTTTATATTTTAAATATATTAATTATTTATTTTTGATAAAAAAAATTTTACAATCATTTTAACAATGATTTAAAAATTGATAGAATCGTCGTCATCATAATCACGACAGCTATCACTATCATCATCATAATAATCACAATCATCATCACAATCATCACCACAATCATCACCATCTTCACAATCATCATCATCACCACAATCATCACCACAATCATCATCATCACAATCATCACCGCAATCATCATCATCACG